ATTAGCAGGAAATTTTTTTATCTGAAGCCCTTCTTCCCCCCTTAGTAATTATCAATTTATTTTAGTTTTCTTTTTGATTGGATATTTAGCTTTGTAGGGGAAGGTTCCCTATCCAAAAAAAAAACAGAAAAAAAAAACTATGTACAATAAGTTTAGAGGAAAATCATCTGTACGACTGTATCTGAAAAATATTCTGGGAAGTATATATATAGTGTAGTAAATTAATTATAGTAACAAATATTCTCTTTGTCGCTTTCTTTTCTTATAGAGCTCGTGTTATATCGTACACACAAATGGAATGGCTGAGATATGGGACATTGAGATCAATTTGGACAAGTTCCTTAATGCGACAATTCATCATTAATTTCTATGACTAGACTTGTTTCCAAAAACATTTATCACATGTTTAAACTTGGTGCTCAATATTCTTACAGACTCTACATGATCACCAATCTCAGTCACTAGGCGTTCACACATTTTCTCTTCTGCATTTGTTTTTGTTAACTTGGTACAGTTTGCTCTTCTGCTTTTTTTAGTCCCTTTAATCTCATTTTTATTTCTTTCTTTTTTTTTTTTGCTCCATTATTTCTTTGTAGTTATGTGAAAATTGTCAATGTAGTGATAAAAAAAATCTACATCAGTTAAATTGGAGATATAATGGGTACATAAATATAATAAGGATCATATATACTTAATTATTATAAACTGATTTTAAGTTAGATATCCATCTAAAGTTTAATATGGTATCATGTGAAATCAATGTCATGTGATAAGTTCATTATTCTTACATATGAGAACGAGTGTTATAGTTAAATTTAGTGTCCATTGTCTCTAACATGGTATCAAGTAGTCGTTGTCCTCACTCATACTATATGTGAAGTCAATGTTACGTGATAAGTTCATTTTCCTTACATGTGAAGAAAAGTGTTAGAATTAAATTGAAAGCCTATATTATGGATATAAAAATATAATAAGTATTACTCTTCTTACATATCAGTTGATTTTAAGTTAAATTTTCACATAAAATTTAATAAAAATAACTTGATAAAATGCTTTATTTGCCTACCAAAGTAAAGCATTCCAAAAGGAGAATTGCAGGGGAAAACTGAAAAGAAGAGAAAAGCATAGGATCACACCCAAAAAAAAAAAGGTAGAACAGAAATGCATATGGTAGTGTTTGGACCAAGCTACCTATAGGCTATAGGAGAAAATTGAAATATGAGAGAATTGCATAGGATGTCACCAAAAAAATGAAAACTGCATAAGATAGTGTTTGGACCAAGCTACATATAGGCTATGGTTATTACTAGCTAGGTTACATTTATAATAAGGCACATGCATTAAAAATATGTTAGGTTAATGGACAATTGAAAAGGCTTGAATGAATTTTAAATGAAGTGTCCACTTTATTTGATCACGTTGGTCAAAATTGATTTAATTTCAATACAAAAAATACCAATTGCAGATTCAATATTTCTAGTAGTGATTTATATAACTTGTCAACTCTCATTAAGATAGGATACTAACTAAATAAGAGAGACAGGTGAAAATTAAATAAGAAAAAAACTTGAAGCTATATAAACAGCATATGAAGAATGCAATTAGGCACAATTAATGGAACTTGATTGAAAAGAATTTCCATACTCATCCATTTTGTGGATTTTCCTTTTCATCTTCGAAGTATTAACTTCAATTAGGTAGATCTAGATCGAGAGAATCTGTAGGTTTCTGAGACTTTTCTTTTGGTATATTTTTTTTGCTTGCCTTGGCTAAGTCATGAATGATCAAGCAAATGATGAAAAGGCAGTGGCCCTGTAAGGTTTTCTTTTGATATATATGAAGCAATAGGCTGTAAGTACTCTAAATTGATCAAATCGAAAAAGGTAAAAAATTATGATTCTTCAACATTTGGAGAGGTTAATTGCATGTTTAATTATGCTCTCTCTTGCTAGATATGGTTTTTTTTTTTCTTGGTTTAATTTTATGGAACTGTGACTACTGTTCTTAATTTCCCCTCGATAAAGGTTACCTTCTATAAGTGGAAAGCATGGTATGGGAATCCTACGAATGATATATAGATAAAGTATTAAAATCACAAAAAGAGAATTGTGTGTTGGAATTTTATACATAAAGATGTACTAGGCCGGTATATAAATTTGCTGTTGCCCGGCCACACGTGATGGTGTTGTGCTCTATATATTGATGTAATAAATTAGGTATACCTAGGAAAATTACATAATACCAAGTTCTCCATCTCTTGCACTAATTCATCTATAAATTGGTTTCATGTCGCAATCATTTGACCCAGCTAAATTCCCAAAACTGAGTTGCAGTCGATGCAGGCACCTTCCAGTTTTGTACATGTGTTTGCAGCTAAGGGCATACCAAGCCGTCTCGTGTGTAACACTTGTCTTAAAAGCAAACAATGGGAGCAAAATTATACATATGTATTGGTGGGATCATGCCAGTCTTATTTTCAATCTCACCAACTATGACAAAGAAACCAGTCTAAGTGGTAGTTCGATCAACCAGATGGTGCCTTGTGAAATTAATAGCCTTTTCTTGGTAATGAAAACGAAAAGACTTAAAATCGAGTTTTACACCACATTAGGATATTTACTTCTTTAGGCAGATTTCCTAAATTGCATTGAGATATTTAGTTGGTTGAACCCCGTTGTTGATATGTAATAAAATAATTATATATATATAGAGTATGTTCTTTGTTTTTAAATTATCTATATGATTTAATTATTCAACATTTGTGTGGATTATATTAGTGGGGTGGTCAAAATTTCATATTTGGGGGACGAAAAATCAGAAACAATATTTATAAATTAAACTGTTATACTAAAAATTCAATGTTTGACTATATAATAAAACAATTTAAGCAAAAAAAATTCTTATGAAAATTATACAAATAAATCCTGAAAATTATTCAAAGGAATCAATCTTAATAATTTCCTTAAAAGAATTAACTAGTATAATCACAAATAATCACTAATTGTTGTATGATATTCAACTAAATAAAAAATTATTATAAAGATAAAATTATAAAATTTCAAAAAAATAAAAATATATTAGAAAATTTAAAAATTTTTGTAATGAGGAAATTATAAAATTCCTAAAAATTAAAAATAAGTTACAAAATTTAAAAATTATTGAAGACGAAATTAAAAATATTTTAAAAAATACATATAAATTATAAAAATTTAAAAATTGTTAAAGAGGCGGGGGGCCCACTAACCCCCCAACCCCTTAACCTCTGGATTATATGAAAGAATATTCATTGCTGTTCACGATAATACATTAGTCACGAGAGGATACCAACTCATTCTAATTTCTAGTTTGACGTACTTATCATGATTTTAATTAGGATGATGGATGTCAATCAGATGAAAACTACATGGTGATGATATGATTTTACAGTCAAATGGGCGTGATTTGGAGCCAACAGCTTATATGGGACCCATGCTTATTTATAGGATAATCTTGTGTGTTGGCCTACCAGTTGCTTTGATGCATCAGATTGTCAGGATCATTCCTGATTCCACCAGTGTTCGACAACAATATAAAATTCTTTCTCACTCTCTCTGCTCAGGAGGATGAAGATGAAGTTGTCCAACGCCCATTGACTCATGTAGATTACTTGATCCAAGTACTCCTCTCATGACTTGTATGACACGAATTGCATGACCAAGTTTCACGTCCAGGTTACTGTATTTGTTTATGAAGAAATTATACTCTAAGCTATATTTAGCATTTTATAACCTATTTTAAACAGTAAATAGCTCACCCAACCGGTTTCTTCCCACCAACTTATTTGCTCCACAGCCTTTTTTTCCCCTTTGGAAACAAGTCTTCATTTACTTGCGCATTAAAATCATTGGCAAATTCAAGAGTAGTTAAACAGAAGAGGGTTTATATAGGGGAAGCTAAGAAGCTCAAATTTGATGGTTGGGTTGATTATCTTCAAGGCTTCAAAGAGCAATGGCTTCTTTAGTTTTGTTACTGGAAGCACTAATAATATTCCGATGCCAAAATCATGATCTTTTGTCGAACAAGATAGCAACGGAAACTGCTTATAACACCAACCATGATGTGGGAAAACAAGGGTACCATGGCTGCATTTGGAGTAGCATGAGCCAGGTGAAGGAGGACTGTGCTCGCACATGGAACATAGCTGAGTGTTGCATATGGCCTTGAAAATCGTATGCTGTTTAATTTTCTTTTGTTTTCTTTTTTCCTCCACTATACCACACTTTTGAATTGCAGATATGTGCACGAAATCCTTTTTCTTAACTTTATATCATTATTAGTGCATCTAATTAAGTATTTGAAAGAATAAAAAAGGATAACATGATGTTGATGATATATTAATCAGCATCCACATCTCCCCATATAGGCTGCCTAGTAGCCTTTTTTGAGTGTTTTAATTTTCTCCTCCTGCATTATTTTCAACACAGAAAAGTGTATGTTCTTGTATCTATCATGCGCTACACCTTTATAACAAGGCTTTGATTCTCATACTGTTTCACTGCTACGATACATGCTGAATTAGTTTTGTTCGCCAATTTAAAGGCATGTCGTTTTAGTGACAGGCATGATTAGCAAATGAAATTGGGAAACCTGAACAAAGACTCCAGCAAACTACCCAAAAAGGCCACAACAAGAGAAAACACCACAACCCAGCCTTGATTCAATTCCTTTTTTAGCTAGCGCATTTAAAACCAAGCCAGAAAATCTAGATTACGGTGACTTGTTTCCTTGTTCGCTAAAGCATCATCCCACAGAGTTATGTCTCCCGTTACTTTCTTAGCCTCCATGGGGACTGGGACCTTAATCTTTGCATTCGTTGATTAACACCACATTGACAGAATCACTTTCTAATATGAGTGATGAATTGCCACTGCATCAATCTTTAGTGAACGGTCCACTATAAATATTTCCAGATCAGTTGTTAATATAAATGAAGGCAATTCATTGTTGAGTCAGCAATTTTGAACATGTCGATTTATTATCTTTATTGATGAATTTAAGTAAAGAGGATTATTGACAACAAGCAAGCATTACATGCATCTTGACCATTTTTAAGTTCTTAATTTCCAGCTTTCATATATATAAATATTATAACAACGATGCGCGCACGGTCCATATATATATATATGTATATATACATAGAGAGAGAGAGAGAATATGCATAAGGATTTAGGGCCTGGTTTGATCCTGCAGGAATTCGTGTATGAGTACATGGTGAAATGTGAAGCAAATAGCCCAATTTGTCAAGGGCTGCTGAGCCAAGTGTCTCCTTCAACATAGTAAGTCCCTATAAAAGGCTCAGCCTCTTCACCAGTCAGAATTCGAGCCCACGGCACTCTTCCTGTTAAGTTGGCTCCCGGTCCACTGCACTTGTATTCTCCATAGTACACTCTACTGCAAGCACAACAAAAAAAATTTCAGTGTCACTGACTTCAGCCCAATTAAACAAAGCATTGATTGAATAGTAATTTTGTTTTTTTTTTCCTGAGCTAGTGTTTATAACATAACATAAAGTAGTACTTGTTGAACTATAAACAAGTGGTATAATTGGTAGCATTGGACTTACTCATCACGTTTTCGGTCACCCCAATCACTCCACCCTTGGGGAAGAACAACCTGGTCCATGAAGGTGTAAGAGAACACAACCCTTGAATACTCGCCCCAGGCTCTACCAAGGTAGACCATGCCAGGGGCAGTGCCGGTGACCACACAATCTTTGAATGAGAACCCACTGGCCAATGATGCATTGGATCGCTTTTGAGCTGTGAGAGAGGACGCCTTCTTGGATATGGAATTCAGAGTGCAGCTCTGCACATGGAAGTTGGAACATCAAAAAAGTGCTACTAGGCCCTAGGCCCAATTTGAAGATTAAAAAATAACATCGGTCACGCAGGTAACAAAATGGACCTTATTATTACATTAATCTTGGGTCAGCAATTAACCGCACCAGGTCCAGTTGAAAGCCCAGCATATGGGTTTTGGATGCAACAGACTTACCTCGTAAAGGGACCTGCCATAGCCGAAAATGAAATCAACAGAGCCTTGGATAAAGCAATTATTGAAGTAGTGGAGACCCTTGTGATCATAAAGAGTGTCTTGATCCCCATAAAAACTGCAGTTATAAAATGCAGCCTTGGTCCCCGATATCCGAAGTGCCACGGCTTGACCCCCTCTTGATCCAATCTGATGCGGGACTGTGTTCTGCATCAAGCAAATTCGGCCATCAAATTTCTTTAGGAAATTTGGTAAGTATTTGAAACCATTAGTTCTTCTCCTTTAATGATATTCATGAGTTTTTACATATTAAAAATCAAAACCATGTACTAATTATTTTTATCAAGTTTATTTCTATCAAATAGTTTTTTCATTCTCTTTCTATTCCAAATATAGAACCAAACGTGCACTTAAAAGTTTATGAAAGTTTTCGAGTGTCAGTGGAATCTTTATGCCTACCTTGTTTGTAACCCAGCCAACAACAAATCCAATTTTCATAAAAAATAATAACAGTAAAAAATAGATGCTGTCTATGAGCTGTACTATCTCTATTTCAGAGTTTTCATCTTAACTGTCTGGAAAAATTGAAGGCTAAGATTTAGTAATGCGAGAGACCTCGCCAAAGGAATATGCGTAAAAACGTACTAATTTATCTTTACTTATACTATGGCATGCTTAAAAATCCTGTCAGGTTTACCTCAAACTTCATGTTGATGGCCACAAAATAATTTGCATCCACAGCAACTGTTGCGCTCTGAAATGTCTTCAAAGGCATCCCATCTTTGCCAGGACCTGATGCGGTGTCGTTCCCAGTGATGGTCGGTGGGTTACTTGCATCCCCTAGAAACGTAATGAAGGGCAACGTTCTAGGGATGACAATCTTTTCCCTGGAAATATTAAGCTTTCCCTTACAAATTGTTATAATGTCTCAAGCACATGACATGACATGACATGTATATAAGCTGCAACATGGAATTTAATATACCTGTAAATGCCTGGTTTGATCACCAGAATGACTCTCCTGCTGTTGCGTGAAGGAATGCTGCTAAGGGCTTCATTAATAGTCCTGAAATCGCCACTTCCATCTTGGCTAATATTTATTCTCACTTTATTCATCTCAGCCATCCTCAGCTTATCATCAAGAACTCTCCCTTTAGCGCCAGGTGACTGCAGAATGAGGGATTCTGCTTGCCAGAGAACCTGCTTACTTTTGTGATTTCGGACATTCCAGCTGAGCCATTTGTCATAGCCTGTTTCACTGCCTGGATTGCTCGAAGTAGTTTTTAAGTAAACGTTGCAGAAAACAATAAGGAAGAGAACGAGTTGGAAATAGGACTCTGAAGCCATGAGAATACGCACTAATGTCATATGGGACTGGGTGGTCTATTAAAATTAGGAAAAGGATTTGGGAGAATGGAATGTGTCACGACATTTACCATTTTAACCTTCTGATGTCTGCCTACCTCTCTCTTGGTATGTTATTTAATATTCGTCGGATGCTGCATAAGATAATTAACAAATAGATATTGCCACATGTCAATAAAACAAATAGACAACCGATGAATACTAAGACCTACAGTGCTGCAATGTGTTGAATTTGGATTATAGGCTGATTGGCTGTTCTTTATTGATAAGATTAATAAACCTGAGGTACTCTACATGCTAAAACTTAAAAAGTAGGCAGGCCCCGAACTTGTTTGAGAGCTGCCTCTTGATTTGAACTCCCCACCATTATATTTCGTTAATATTCTTACATTTCCTTAAAACTTTTCCCTTCCAAGTGAAAACTTGTTCATATATGCAAATTGTCCAGCCGCTGGACAACTTATAGTTGTCGTACTTTGAGCGAAAATGAGCAATGCATATCAGCCACATTGCAGAATTGAGTTCATGAGGGCATTTTTGGGAATAAATGATCCATGCTGGTCGTTGAAAGGGGACCCCAAGGCCAAACTCTCGAGTTGGAATTTGTTAATATATACTACTATCATCTTGAATCCTATCCTATCCCATAATGGTGGGGAAGAGAACTCAGGGAATGCGGGCATAGCTGTATTCCAATTCCCAATACATTTGGCAGCTCTAAGATCCATTTCTTTGGAGTTCAAAAACAGGCTAAGTCTAGTAGTGGTGTCCAGAAAATTGCCATGATTCTGTCAATTGTCAAATACCAAACCTTTGCTAGTGTAGGGCAAGATCAGCTAGACCCCCCAATTGTTCATCCCAAATCTATAACATGCACTGCCTCTCTGGCACCAAATGCCAATTGTCACGATGATATGTCCAATTGCAGAACAACATCTTTAGCTGGCTGCTTTTATCACTCTGTATTGGTAGTTTTCATGACTCTCTCTGGCAGAAAACCAGTAAGGAATATTTCACCGCATGTTTCTTTGATCTGCATTCGACATTTGACTTTGGGTGGGAAGACATGGCAATATTTTCAATCTTTTAGTACGGATTAATGATATGTCTTTTTATTATTATCATTATTTTTATTTTGTTTCAAATTTCAATATGCCGACAATTGCCCCACTCCTATTTCAATATGTTCTCTTCGGGTCTACATGCACCATCCATTTGTTCATCCCTCATTTCCTCGTCAGAAAGCCCATTTAAATATTTTGATGACCAGATTAATGGGCTACATCTCAAATCATTTAAGGCCCAAAGCTTGAAGTTCTTTCTTTTTTTGGACAAAGCCCTGTCGTTTTCACCTTTTTTTTTTCTTAATACATGTTTAATTTGAAATCGTTACTTTAAAGACCGGCTTACAATTGTCCCTATATTTCACATGCCAATTATGCAATATTTAATTTTTGGGCATTTATGTCACGAAATATTGAGTGAGGTTCACAGCTATATAACAAACTTGACAAGATTATGAAATAAAATTGCTTTGTTAGTGTTATGAACAGAATCATATAGATATTAAATCATGAATTTCTAACTCTCATCTTATACACGTAAGAAAATGGAAGCACACGACTGTGGTGGCCATGAATTGAAACCATAATTTTCTTGGTTTTACTAATTTCTAACAGACAGAAAATAACAACTCCATCCTTTCTCTATCATAATCCCTGCGAGAGTTGATTAGGGCAGGAAACTTCGATGACTTTGTTTGAATAAAAACTAAGTGAGTTTCTAGTTTTCCAGCAAAGGACCGGTCATGCTAACGTAAGCGGTGACTGCATTCTTTTGGACAGGACAGGTTCATTTTCAGCCAACACTTGAAATATTAAACTCCACTAAAGCGTTTACTAGGAAAGATGCTAAACAATTGGCTGCTGCATCTGGAAATTTAGCTGTTTATTTATTTAAATCCTTTGCAGCCAAAGCTTACATTACAAGAGTCAAGCCTTAGCACCCATGACAGGGCCTGGCTGCTTACTATTTTTCCTTGTCTTATAATCAGCTAATTTTCTTTTAATATGTCTGCCACCCAACAGTACTACTACTATTCGCTATGTACATTGAAGAATTTTGTCGTCCAATTACCATTATTTTCTTATCTCTTTTGTCTTCTCTTCGATTCTGCTTCGTCTTGCAAATCAATAACATTCAATGCTTTTTCTTATCGGAAATACAGATGTTGAATTCAAATTATAACTGCTATGTACTTTCGAAAGGCAAAAAAAATTTAATCTCAAATCATTAGGATCAATTTTTATAATTATCATCATGTTTACAGCATGCAAAAGTTGAAATCGAATTATAACTGTATATTTTTATCTCAAAAAATATCTAACAATTAATAAAGTCAACAATATTCGATGTCTTATAAGTTTTATTGAGGAAAAATGTTTCATCTTGACAATATTTATTGGACAAACCTGAAAATGAGTTTGGGTCATAATGATTACTTTCATGGGTAAATGAAGAAACTAAAGGATATTTGATATGAAAATCTGAATGGAATATGGAAGCCATACCCCATTTTTTTCATGGAAAACTAAAAACAATTGCCAAGAACGGCCTCATGGGGAATAGTTAAGGGGATTTGGCCAGTTCATCTGTTCCCACGTGTTTTCGTTGACTGCCTAATGGGCGTCAAAACGAAGGGATGGACGGCTGGTAAGACTTTTCGAGGGAGGGGATGGTTTCAAGGGTTGCGGCACTTAGTGCTTCAGTCCTGGAAGCCTACGGCTACCGTTTGAATCCGATGAAAAACTAATGTGCTTCAGTCCTGGAAGCCTACGGCTACCGTTGAATCCGATGAAAAACTAATGACTTTTTCCTCTTTAAGGACTATGGAAGGCTGCGAGGGAATCAGCCTTTTCTTATATTAAACAAATGCCTCCCAGTCCCATCACTCATAGTTGGCTTTGTCTGGAATCTCCTAGTTGTGGCAGTCACGAGGGCTAATTATTTTCTCTGGACGATCCTTTTGCTTGGGAAAACATAAGAAACTGGTGCAGAACAAGAGATCCGCAGGGATTTATCTTCCAGAGCTCATGTTCCCCCGTTGGGAGGGCAGCTTTCATCCCAAGTCCCGCGATATTCTTACCAGTTGTGAGGATACATTTGCTAAGTAACAACAGAGATAAAAGTAAGCCAATAAAACAGGCACATGATACATTTGTTAAGTAGACTTGTTGTACAATAAAAACAAAACAAATCTAAAATCTCGTGTAATTTAGGGCTTCTTGTCCTAATTTTTATTTCTAAATGATCTAAGTCCTAAAAGAAAAGTGTCACATCCCCTAATTAATTTAATGATCTTTTGTAAGGGTTACATGCTTTTATCAAAGAGGCATGATCAACTTATATGCTAGATGTAGGAGCAACTTTATGCCATTCAATAATTTAATTTTATACACTTACCTTCCAGGAATCTTATCATATATTAATTATATTGATCACCCATCTTAAATATAAGAGAAACCAAGAAAAAAAAAAGGAAATTCCAAAGAGATTGCATGGATGAAGCTAGACAAACTTATTGTACATAGATAAAACATTGAACCCAACTTCTTGTCCTGTCATTGGATAAACTGTAGAAAGACCTCTGAATATTAACCCAACATAATTAATTTCACTGGTGGTGAAATCTGATTTCACCCCTTTAAACTAAGAACCTCCAAAATCAACATTATCACAAATAATTCTCCCTTTTACAAGGTTCCATTGGCGAGTAATTATTAGGTTGCCTACAAATGGGGCAGACCAAAGTTGGAGAAGATAAAACTCTGCTGCTAATTTCTATTTCGAGACCTTCGTTCTCAAACTAGGGCGTGGCTACTTATTCTCAACGTTTTCCCCCGAATATGTGTAGCTTCATCTTTTAGAGATGCTAGGAACATATCTTGAGACACTTTTCCTTCTAGAAGCAGTGGCATTTTAATAGTAAAATTGTTTTCACTAAAAGTTAAATTATGAGGGCTCGAACAGGGAAAAAACAGAATTGTGCAAATCGAATGACATTGTTTAGAATACTCTAAGATTACATATCTCTATCATCCTGACATTGTTGCGTGAATCATTTACATTCCAAAAGTTGTCAAATTTTGGGGTGTTAGCCGAATTGCTACAAGCTTTGTTTTTAATATTGATCAGATAACAGAATCTCGAAAATGTTTGAATATAAAACTTGATACGTCACGTAAGCAAATTCATATCATTAGACCTCATCATGAAGCTGTTGCTGTAAGAACCAAATATTCTCTTCATTCCACACACTCTCCAGCGAGTCCCCACCACCCAACCAACCATTGCTCTGCTCCTCTGTCGCCTGAAAATCAATCCCACCATCTCTACGCCATGCGCCCGCCAAATTTTCCGCGCATAAACCCGACCCGTTTTGTAAGTTATTCGGGTTGTTCGAAGCACTTTGTGGGTTGTAACAATCTGTCAGGTCTGAAACGGAGGAGACTTGGGTGTCCAGGGAGTCCGATGAAGTGCCTGATAACTCGGGCAGGAGACTTGGGTCAACCTGGACCGACCCGGTCGTATTTGCATAGGTGATTTGACTGGTGGTTATGTTGCTGCCACTGTTCATGTAGGTGGTGGTGGAGGATGAGGAAGGTTGACCTGACGGGGACTCGGATGTAGCACGGATCCGTTCGATTAAACGGGGAATCCAAACGTAACGCATGGCATCCCTGAATTGTTTGCTGTTAACATCACATTTAAGCTGCTTTGCTTGCTTTTGTACTCTTGTTCTCCAGTAGTTTTTAATTTCATTGTCTGTCCTTCCAGGCAAGTGTTGTGCAATTTTTGACCACCTTCAGGGTTTCAGGATCAAAATTAGACAAGTTAGCCAAGACTAAACAAACTTTTTGTATTGAATTTCAGGAACGACGAGAGAGCAATATGGAAGACAAATAAACACCTGTTGCCCCAGCGAGAATGGAGTTCAAGAATCAATAGCTGCTCTTCGAGGCTGATGTTTCCTCGTCTGACTTCTGGTCGCAAGTAGTTCAGCCATCTTAATCTGCAGCTTTTGCCAGTTCTTTTTAATCCTGTGTACGCATTTATGTCATATCAGAATCACAAAATATTATGTTAAAACAGATGCACGAAAGCTGAAAAATCTTGGGTTTCGTTGATTTTGGGTGAAGCAGACTTGTTTCAAGTAACAGGGACGGAAATAATCATGGAACAAATTGCTAACCTGATAAGCGAGCGACAGAGTTCCAGCGACCTTCCCCATGAATATTGACATACGCCTTGAGCATGGAGTCCTCTTCTTCAGTCCACGGACCTTTCCGTACGTCCATTTCTTCTTCACTTTGTGGAGTTTCAGATATGAGACCTCTCTCGTATACATCCATTTCTCAACTGAAAACAGGTTAATTTTTGGCGGAGAACAAAGGGTAAGAATCTAAGAGCCAGAGAGAGAATTGATTTGGGATTTGTATCAGTGTTGAAGATACAGAAGCGATGAGCTTACTAGGATATTACATGAGAAGGGATTATATAGACAGCGGCAAAGATGGGATTGGACTGACTACAAAGTAAACAATAATTTTTTCTCACAATAAACAAGAAAAAAGAGGCATGTGTGATAGAACGCGCTACGACCCACGAGATAATCGTAGTATTATCAACTGATTAAGTTAATAGAAGAAAACTGCTATTTTATTGAACAACCATTTGTGAATTTTCTATTTGGCTTTTGACTGTCTGACTTTTCCATATCTCCCTCACACGCACAATTGGACAAAAACATTTGAATATGAACTATGAAGACCAGCGACAGTCTATGTGGAAAAAAGTTCGCCTCATCAGGATGAGTTGTCTTTGTTTATTATTACATGCCCAATATTTTCAATGTGTTCCGCTGTGATTTGCAACATGTGAAGATGATGAAAGAGACCATGGTTTCGATCAGGAATTTATTATTTCCGACCGACCACTTCCTTGAACCTTTTATGCTAAACCCCTTTTTCACTGGCTGAGCATTACTGCAATAAGAAGTAATGCTATTGGTCTTTGTTGAGTCTCAAATTAGAAGTAGTTTTTTTCCTGTTTCTTGAGGGTTTTTGAAGTGTCATTGATCAGCTCCTTGGAACTTACAGGATTTTGTATCCTGTTTATATGACAAATGGCTTTGCATAGGGAATTTTGTTTGCTTTTGGATTCGGAAAAAACAAACAAGCCAAAAAAAAAAAAGGAAGTTAGGTGAGCTAGGTTAATCGAAAGAATTTTAGGCTCATAGAGCAGAGGGAAGTCAATTTGGTAGCTGGTGCAGATTGTGACTCGTGTAAACTGTTTTTCAGTGGTGAATTGAAAACTGAAATGGAGGAAGATTGATGCAATTGTTTTCTGCAAATGGTGTGTTGACAGAAAGAGGGAAAAACAAGTACCTTAGTTTAGAATATTGAATTCTGGGAAGAAACCCAACTTAACAATCAATGGAGGGACCAGTGAGGAAGGTTGGTGTGATTAAAACGGACATAAAAAATTTCCCCCCCAAGTCAATGAATTTTCACTACAATTGTCAACTTCTGTACATGTCAGTAACATCTTCAAACTGAAAATGAAATATTGTTTAATAAATTATTCTCTTCCATTTTCACTAAAACCACAAATTGCGTTAATAAATTGATGATGGCTTCTTGTAGTTTTCCGCCTACTGTTTTGTTTCTGCAACAGTGCAAAATTTCCCAAATTTCAATTTTTCCATACATCAAGTTTTCGATGTGCTCCTATCACTCCAATGTCACAAGATTTTGGTTGGTATGGTTGAACATCTGATGACAAAAATGTCCAGTGCCAGTTCAATAGGGAGGCTCTCTTCCCTTTGCGGAGGCTTCTTCTGATTTAACCCCTCTGCATTAGCAACAGAGGAAGGATTTTTCTTATAATCCAGACCAATAAGAGTGCACAGGTCAGGTGCTGTTGACAGTAACATTCACGAATTTTTCCCATCCTACACTTTAAATCAAACAGCATATTTTTGTATAAATTAGTAATTTAGAGAATTCTGAATAGGAAAAATTGTCCTGTATATGACTAGCAATTAGGCCCTTTAGATTTCCTTGAATGTTAACCTTCAAAAGAGAAAACAAAAAGATTTCCTTGAATGTTCATATAAAGCAATTAAGCTATACTTGAGTAGGTTATCAGCAAACAGAATTTAATCCTGGATTATTCCACATTAAAGCAAAAGCTCCTTCTAACTTTAAAGAATACAGTCAAATTGAGCTCTACCAAAGGATGGTTCTTTTTTTTTTTTTTTATGAAAATAACCAAGGAGGATTCTTGAAGCGATGTTTCCATTCCTTACCCCCCCTAAAGAGGGCTGAGCTCTTGGAAGGTTAAAAAAAAAACAAATAAAGCAGCACAAATCCCCAATCTTGACACGTGTCTAATCTCTCATACCTTTTCCCCCTTTTGTTAAAAGCATACTTTTTTCAGTTTCCACAACAAAATTCCACCGCTTAAGTGCAATCTAGCACTACGACACAAGCGTTAATCGGGTAAAATTATGATTTACAGCACATTGAAAAACTTGCTAGTGCTGGAAATTCCTTTGGACTACAAACAGCACCAAATCATATTTATTTCACCCAAAGGTTTGCATCAATGGAGTCTTCTTCCGGAGGTTTTTCACCGCTTGTGAATGACGCTTGGGTAAGTTGAATTAAAATGGAAACAGTGAGATTATTCCATAAGGGGAGAACAATGACAGTCAAAAGGAAGAACATTAAGTGTGTCCTTAATGGGGGTGGTAGAAAGTCCCATAACATTAAAATGAATTTTTTGTGGGAATCAAACGACGGGAATAGATCCAAAGGAGCCCACTCAACCAAGTCTCTTAGACATGTGCTGCCCTTTTGGTCAAAGAATTGAAAGGTCAAAAAAAGGAAAAAGAGACAGCTTGATTCAAGTATTCAGCATTGGTCATTGTTTTATATATTTACTTGGCTAAAATGGGGGGAATTGATCTTCCTAAGATAGGAGTACCACAAGCACATAAATTAATCCAAAGACGAGAATGTTGTCACGATTGCTTCCAGCCTAAAAGTACACAAAGGTTCAATCTTATCCAAACCTTTTCTTTCTTATATGACCACATTTCTTTTGCTAATATGTTAAACTCCAAGAGACAGCTTCCAATAATATTGAATACAAATTATGGTTCTGTTTCACAGAAATCGATTTCCAAAAATTTTATTCCGAATTTTTTAGTGTTTGGAAATTTAAAAGAATAAAAATTGAAAGTCAATAGAAAAAAAAAAGATAAAAAATGGAAATTGTCTTTCTTTTTATAAAAGTGGAAAATAATTTTCGAAAAAACTCTCACCCCTTCAAGCTAAACTTTGTCTGTGAGCCGTGGCCTAGCTCATCATGACTTGGATGGGCAAGAATTTTTAGACTTGCATTCAACCATATTCGACCGAAGATATTATAGTATTAATACATATTTTTGTTTAATTTTAATTATGAAACATATTTAAAATATTGATATATATATTTTAATAATAAATTTAATTTAAATGGCTTGGTAGATCTAGCCCTTAGAGGTGTTAACTGACCTAACCTGACTTAAAAATATCATTTTTAATAAATATTTTTATTAATTTTAATTCAAAAATATATTCAAAATATTAATGTAAAATGTTTTTAATATTTTAATAATTAATATAATTTAAATGGGTGAGACCTAGTTTTTAGACGTATCAACCGAGTTTGGTCCAGCTTGGGATATTATTATGTTAATAAATATTTATTTTTCTTTAATTTTAATTCTAAGATATAAAAATATTTTTAAAAAAGATTAAAATATGAATAAAAAGTATTTTCAATATTTCCGTAATAAATAAAAGTTAACTAGACTGGCCTAGGTAGGCCAAGCTTGAGCCCAAATCTATATTTTAGAGATGTCAATTGAGTTTAATTTCACGTGATTCATAAACACCTCTAATTAAATTATATACATAAATAATTCATTTTAAAAAGAAGTTTTAAGTTTAAACATAGTTTTGTATTATTAGTATTAAATTTACTTAATAATGATATTAATTGTAAAAATAAAAAAAATTGTGTTTTATAAGGTCATTCAAATAATAGAAAAGAAAATCCAAATTTTAAAAAATTACCTATCTACCAGAAGTTCATTTTCACGAAACACAGGAAGACTTATATCTACTGTGTTGGTTTTTTCCTTGAATATTTCTTCGCCTTGTTGACTGCATCTTTGGACCCTTTTTTGTTTGTTTGTTTGTTTGTTTGTTTGTTTAATTTGCTGTAAATTTAGCCAATGGCAACGACCTGGAAATCAAGGATTGGAAAGGAAGGGAATTCCGGGCAGGGTAGTCGAGATGCTGATAAACAATTAATGGAACCAAAGCATTTATTTAGCTGACCGTATCTTTGAACACGTTAGGATTTGAAACAATTTCAAACATGCAGTCCTTTTTCTTACATTCTGATTGGCATGAAAAAGTTAGGTTTTTTGGACAGTGGACATAACCATTAATTACAGTTAACTCTGTTTCAATTTTTCTGTTTTTTGTTTGAACGTGGACGTTTCCCAATCACAACCCTTAACCAAAGGCTATCTCCTTCTGTAAATGGAAGCCTTCGGCCTGTCTCAATTTCTGCTTGGGAAGTTGTAGGACCAGCCAATAATTAGAACCAGAATGCCAGAAATGACCATTACAGTATTTTCCACCATTCTCAGGCAATAACTAAAGGAAAGACCGTAGAGATAATGATTGTAAAACTGTAGAGTGTAACATGTACTACCTAGAAATTTGATGTCCTTTGGCTGGAAAGAAGTTTCAGTCTTTCAATTCGTCTTACTTTTGCGTATTAATGCTACAAAGAAAGACACACCATTAATTAAAGGGGATTCTATAGTTGACCTGGGAGTTACTAAGTGTCATTCTCGGTACTTTCACTTCTTCTGTTTTTTGTTAATTAGATTTAGTTTTAAGGGCTGTGCCGTGAAAAGGCCAATGGACACGTGGTCGGTCGACGCTGTCAAGCCCTCTCCACGTTTAGATGGAGCAACACTTGACAGGGACTTTGAAGTGGACGATGGAAATGGGGTTCTGTTTCATTGACATTCGTTATATCATGAACCCCATCTATAGCTTAGTTTGATGGCTTGTTTTTTGGGGTTTCGCGTAGGTCTATTTGTTAGGTTAAAGGAAAGGCAAGTCCGAATAGACATTACATTTCTTAAAAGAAGAAGGGTATCTCAACAGTAGTAAAAAGAAGATCTTTTTGCTTAACCGCCCAAAATTGTGCTTACTTGTTACGGAGCTTGCCATTTGCTGCTGTCTGATCCAATTTTGACATTGAGCTCACCTTATAAGAAGACGACATCTTTGGTTTGGCCAAGCGTGGCCTAATGGAAAGGGGAGCCAACCTTATTGGAGATAAATAATGCAATTATACTCCATGTCTTGTCAAATTATTCTCCTGCTTTAATGCTCTAAATATCCACACATGTGTCTCTCTTTGTCTTTATTTCCTTGGATAATTTAAGTCTCCTCAAAAGACTTATTATCTTTTTACAAGTTTCACTTTCTAATTCTCAATTAGACTTTCTAATAATTGTAGAAGTATGTTGTGATGGCCAATTGATAGTCCTGATGGAAGTTATCATTTAAACATTTAAATTTAATTTGATATTGTAATTATAATTGGCAATTACAATCAAGAACAATTTAATGATAATATTATACGAATTCTTAAATTTAAACTGGTAAAACAAAAGTATAAGAACTTCTCACAACACTATCACCTCCTTGTAGCTAAGAATATCGTATTAGCATCCTTGAGGCCAAGGCTTAAGTAGAATGATAAATAAATAAGCATACAATGTGGAACACATTAAAAGTATTGGTAGAATTAACTTGCCATGACTTGAACCTTATCCTCGAACTCGTAAGGTGAAGGATACGAAAACTTGCTACCATCATTCCATTTCCTATATGACCAATGGTGTTGTCTTCCACGCACTAATCCTAAATTGCAAACTCATGAATTAAATTGTATAAAGACTTTTATCACAAAGTTTATGACATTATTTAAATAAATAAATTCCATGTTGGTTAATGAAAAAAAAACAGTATTTTCATGCATCAAATAGCCGCAATTACAGTTTCCATGTAAATGGAAGTGAGTCACAATTATCAAAGATGATCTTGGTAACAAGTGACAACCACTCTTTCAGGAATTTTTTTTTTTGTTTAAAATGATTTTCTTAAGCTTACGAGACTGATGCAACCAATAACCAAACTACTCTGGAGACAAGTTTCCAGTTTCCACAAAGATGAGCTCTAAAAGAGGTTAGAGCCTAGAGGTCCGGATCACATGCAAGTGGTAATCTATAATTAATTAAAAGTAAATGATTCTAACTCCACCGAACCGAACCGAACCGAACCGAACTGATCCGAACCATTCGGTTTCATGACGAGGAGGAGGTGACGACGGTGGCAATGACGATCACCATGACAAGAAAGCGTAGAGAAGAATAAAGAAAAGAAAACAAAGCTTACGCTGTTGTGTCCGAAGGATTTTGCTTGTGAAAGCTCCCAACCGTAAAGAAAACAGGAACAGGAACACTACTACTAGAAAGTATTTGTTCCACCAAGTCTACATTCGAGGCATCTCGTCGGCTGCGGCCCACAATGAAAACACACACACACACACTCTCTCTCCCCTCTAAACATAACAAAATTTTCATTCGTGCCATGAACTTGGTTTACCACGATATTTTCTTGATTTCTTTCTGAAAAAAGAAAAAGGTTATAATTGTTGGATGATAATAACCAGGCTTGATTCCAGTCACAAATTTTCTTCTTTAAGATTGTCAATGTTAAATGATGTCCCATTTTGGTCATGTATATCACGTTATGAGAAAAGCTTCCATTGCTTTTGACAAAATTAAACACCAAATAACACGAATATTAATGAAACCCCATCATCACTTGCCCGGTATAAACGGCATCCTACTAAAAAACACGAACTCCTTTCTCTCTTTTTTCCATGACTAGTTCAAAGTAAAAACAGAAATGATTAACTCTTGACCTCCACTAAGGAATAACAAACATTGAATCCAACTTGAGTTATTTCTCTTAAGCAGAAAAATAAAACCACCAAATTTGATTAATTTAATGATACAAAAACATAAGTTGACTTTGAGAGTCCACACTATATGTGACATTGGACACAATTTATGCATTCTGAAATTTAACATGATAGATTCTGCCAAAAGAAGGGTTAAAAAAACAAAATTTAGAGTCGGCTTTCAACGACGGGATGGCTTCTTGCAGAGTCAATGGATTTGTAGAAGTATATTTCTTTTTTCATAAAGATGAAAGTTGCGTAAGCTTGACAACCTATTTCATGGACTCCAGAGTCTAGACCCTAAGAAAAGATAAAATATCTCCTCAAACTCCACCATCTATGCCTTCTGTTTTGCTCTTTTTAAAAGAATAAAGAGATGGAAAAGGCCAAGCCCTAGACCCATTAAAGTAGTAGACCTCCCGGGCTGACTGCAAATGAGGTTTTTTTTTTTTTCGCGGTCAAAATAGAAGCTTCTTGCACTTATTTCTATTTCAAACCTCTTCTTCTCGTAAGGTGTTTTGAAGTCGTCAATACTATAAAGTAAACACAAAATTATTACAATAATGTAAATAAATATGTCCTTTTGACATAAGAGATCCATTCATTTTAGAGTTCCCTTAATCAAAATTGGGGAAGAAAGGCACTACAAATAATTCCAATTAAAAAACCTAAACTTTTATGTCGGGTGTGTGGTATGGTCCGCAATCAGATCAGATGGCACTCTGCAACATCCTTATATGCTAAAGTAACAGTGCAGAATTACCAAAAAGGCTAAGACTAGAGGGAAATATTAGCAAATTTAAGCAGAGGAACTACTGAACGTCATTACATTTGTACAGGCATGAGAAAAATCAGCACAAGAAGTGTAAATTTGGAATTCTACTATACTCAGCAAACTATAGAGCAAGAATGTGATATTGAATATGAACCAGTTACAAATTCGACGGAGGATTAATTAAAATTAGAAAAAAGAAATAGTAATTTGAATTTTTCTTTTTTCCTTCCTTATTGGCAAAGATCACAATTGCACATCTTTCCTTATATATGACAAGGAGCATTAGAAATTTCGAGCAAGTGAAGCCATTATTTACCTGATGTTGACCACCAGCTAAAAATGAAAAAAGAACAGTGGTATATTTCTGTGGTTACCTATGGGGAAATAGTATTCAGTGCCTACCATCTTAGTTAAGCAATTTGGGCAATGAAATTTGATGAAATCCTTTGCCATTCAGACAACTTATACCACGCCAAATGCTGACTGTATTGTAGATGAGACACGAGAAGCAATGGTCTGAGAGGCAAACGCTTGAATCTTCTTCTTGGCATCTGAATTAGAAAGAGCACTTTGTCAGATCAAAGAAATGATCTAAACTGTAGCCGAGAATTAGCATCACATAGAAGGTTCAAGTCAGACTAAGGCTGGGAGTCAAGAGCTCTGCAATAAGCTTGAGCCCAGTTCACCTTCAATCCAATAAACAAACCCACCCAACCAGTTAGAATAAACGGAGGGGCCTCAACCCACCACCAAGTCAATAAAGCGTTTTTCCTTTTCCCGAAGAAAATCAGTAGCATAAAGTCAGTTCTCCATCAAAACAAACGTAACTAAATCCAAGATTTAAGCTGATCTTCGGAGATTTGTGCTTGTAAATATCTGTTTTTTAAGCATGCATAGTCTGTATTTTACTTCTAATTACATGTTATCCATATATCTCTTTGCAGAGAACCAACTTGTGCAGTATAAGATTTAACGCTTGGACAAGGCTCGATCTAGAATTCTTATGTTCTTGCGATCTCAAGAGAGCTAATTTAAGCCCAATCTAGGACCTCGATGAGCCAATGAGCAATTTATTTCCTTAATCTCAACTCCATGCACTTCTTGTTGGACTAGCCTGGCTGGGCAGCCCATTCCATGCACTCACGTAGGCCTGTCAGATAGCTGGTGATACTATGGTTATAATGGTTTCTATTCAAACATTGCACAAAAGAACATGATCAAATAGTAAAGAGTACATGCAGCTATTTCTCAGAACGGATAGCATGTAGTTTAGTTGGTTAACAAACGACTTCTCATGATAAGGCAGCTCTAAACACCACTTTGAACTCTGGAAATTTGGATGCAGAGCCAGAAACAACAATCACACTTACTCAGGAAATTATTTCTAGTAAAAAGGATTCTGTTTTTATGATCATGTAAATACATGCTCTAAATAAATAAAGTACTAGTTAAAATGATTTTTCATATTCAGTGAACTTCTCATAGTGCTATTGGCAGCGGCTGAGCATGAATGGTTTCGGGCTTGAAGGGCCCTGCTCAAGCTACCAAAACCAGGCTTGCCACTTTGGCTGCTATGATGTGTAATCTAGCATTATCACCCTTCATCCCATTCTTCACCACAATTATCACAATATTATAACAGCATTGAAATCACTATAAATCTGAAATGGCAGAATCTCGTACCTTTACGGCATTTGGTGAATCCAATGATGTTGGCAATGCCAAGGCTCAAACAAACACCCACAACCAGGAGATAATCAGCCTGAAACCTTAGAAGCGATAATATTGCAAAAATGATCCAAGCAGCTGCCTGAAAAAGGACAAAACAAAAGAAAGAAATGTTCACTTCAAGTATATCAAGAGTATGGAAAGATTCCTAACCCTACAATGCAGTATGCACATCATTACTTATAAATGGCAATTCTAGAAGATTACGGTGCATTGAGAATAGCAAGATAAAAGTTTTAGATATCCACAAAATCTAGTTAATAATCATCAGCAAGTCCCTTTCAATCCATTTTCCTAACGATCACTCACATTAAGGTACAGTGTCCACCAAAATAGCCAGGAATCCTTTTTGTTAATACGAGCTAACGACTGCATAGAGAGAAAAAAAAAATTACAAACACGAAATGACTAGACTGGTAAAATGTTACCATAAAGCGCATTATGAGATGGGATAACCAAATGTAAAAATGTAAATAATGAACCTGTTCGTCAAGGCACTCAAATCTCCACACGCTCTCACCTTGGTCGTTTATCTCATTCCACCACCTAAGCCCAACTAAGATACGGCCGCTTACATTCTTGACAACCCAAAAATCAAGAGCAGCAAGCACAACAGTGATCACGAAGATGATAACAAAGCTATCAGCGAACAGCGCAGAAAGTAGGTAAAATGTCAAAGCTGAAGCCTGTCAAATAAAAAGTCTGAAAGCAGTTACAGTCGAGAGCAGCGAGTCACTCAATTCTTGAAACAAAGAATTACAAATATAAAAAGATATATCGTGTTCACCTTGAAGAGCACATGAAAGAAGCATGTTTTCGGATTTGCATAGTTTTCTTCAACGTACTACATTGAGAGTAAAATAGAATATATATATATATATATATATATATATATATATGAATCTGAACAATAAGAATTCTTAAATCACGTAACAGACAAAGACACAAAAAAACAAGAGATCTGATATCTAGCAATGATGATTGGAATCAAATTTTAAACTGAATTTCAAGAGCTGAAGAAAAAAGATTCATAGTTACGAGTAATATCATGAGGTGAGAGATTATACGGCATCAAATTAAATTCCACTTTTTGTATTAAGACTTTGGATTTTGGTTGAATTTTACCTGGCTTAGATCCATGAGTAAGACGATTATCCAATGAAAATTGTGACTCTCCTTTCTTTAGAAAGCTTTAATGGATTGTAGAGGCATCAGAGGTTCCGATAGAACCAATTTGTCTGGGGGGAGTCTCACTCTGCTTGGCACTTTTCGCTCCTAAAAAATTTCCCTCGTTCGCGCACGGAACGTTTTATTGTTCTGCTTTTTCTTTTCTACAGAATGGACGCGAGGCCCTTTTGCCGCCTTGATTAGTTCATCCGACTTAGCTCAAAGGCCCTAGTAGTGATTAGCTTGAATGAACTGGGTCCAACTGCCACAGGCGATAAATGCAGGGCCTTCGATTTGTTTAGTAGGATTTTGGTCCTTTGCTGGGTACTGTGTTAGTTAGTTAGTAGCTTCAGATGAAAAAGTTTAAAGGGAAATTTTGTCACAAACACATTTAAAAATTAATTACTCTTTTTAATTATAGCGTCATAGACATATGATAAGTGGTAATGTTTTAAACTTATTTATGATATTTAAAATCTCCAGAGTTGATGTATAGTATAGTTTTTCTTTAAATTTAATTTTTTTTCTTTAGAAAAAGGGGGAAAGGTAATTAACATTAGACTGTTAATACGAATGGCAATAAGTTTTGCCAACTATAGTGTATAGGCTACTAGACACTTCATGGATCATTCCGGAAATGTCTCCATCCTCAAATTAAATATAGTGGGTGATTCACGTTTAAGTCCCCTTGGAAGTAGAACCAATGAAATGGCGACATCAATCATCTATTAACCAAATGAAAATAACACATGGAATTAGTCAAGGCTTGTCAAGTACCAATCTGAGCCACAAAAGTTAACTCAAAAATCATACTTAGGTCTTAATTTTGCTCAAACGACTTTACTATTTTAGTCTGAGAAAAAAAAACGGAAAACAAATAACAGTCCAAACCAAGGGAAAAAACAGGGACAAGGAAAAAGAAATAGAACAGTTGCCTCTTGAATAATTGGAAATAGGATTTATAGAATGGTTCAAGTTGGCTGAACGTCGGGGCTAAAATTTTCCAGCAGGGCCCATTTGTGATCTGCCAAGTGCGGATAGTGGATTGTTGGCAGATGCTGCTGCACAGGACTTGTAAAAAGAGGGAGCGTCCTTGGTGACAATCAATCGAGGAGTACTGACCACGAAACTGGTGCAGTGGAACCTTTTAGAATCACATGACAAACAAGCTAGCCCCAGCAATGTGGGCCCAACGAAGGTTTAAAAATTTCAGGGCTCCACATTGTTTCCTGTAGCACGTGGACTGGGAGAGGACGGGGAGTCTGAGTCTGCTTTAGTTGTTCCATGCAGTCCAAAGAGACAGATTCGACGGGTTTCTTAATTTGTCTGCTTGTTGTGAATTTGACTGAGTCTCAAACATGTCAGGAAAGTGAAAACAAGCTCTGGGTTTTAATTTCGACAGTTCAGCAAATGGACGAGAAAAAGAGAAGGAAGTACCTATTCTATCAGTCACAAAATGGACTAGACACTTGTAAAAGTTTTGATATATATCTATATATATATATATATATATTCTTTTAAGTTCCATTTTTGTAAGCTGTACAACTTAAAAACAAACAATACACAGAAGCTGAGATAAAGATTTTTTTACAATTATGAAAATTTCGGATTTCAGAACAAATTTGGATTGGTGGGGGTGCACTTCTTTAAAGTATTCAAGAAAACAAATGAGGGACAGATTGGTGACTTGTTTGGAACTTTAGCTCCAAAGTAACATCAATCATGGCAAAGGCAAACAATCAAAGTACTAATTTAAGGACAAAACTAGGATTTGCATATTAGTAGTAGCATGTCATCAATAATAGTAGAACGAATCATGGTACTAGTGGTGGAGGAGATTGCACCAAACCAGACGCACCTACCCAACTACATTCAGATTCTCATTACTAACCATTTAGCTATTAAAAAAATTATTAAGTGAAAGAAAGTATTCCTCAAAACAATTGAAAAAGGAAAAAAATAATTTTAATCAAAGATCCTCTTATAGAGGCATATCATATTTGCATAATTATCAGACTTTGTTTAGGCAATATTGATGGAGAAGAAAATAAATAATTGAGATAAAAGTGACTAGAGTTATAGCAAAATTCACTTCATTTTGGTGACAAAAATGGCAACATATAAGTTCAAAATTTCCAATTATTGGAGACTTTACTGGTTAATTCCAGAACCCATAAGGATAAAAGTGAAAGTAACATGTAATATTTTTTGCATAAAGAAGTTAGAAGTGCATTAAATGGGTAATTATAAATTAAGACCATTACTACTTTGGCATAGAAAGAGGGATTCTTCTACATGATTCAAGGCTGTGATCTCGCATAAAATAGCTTTGAATTGTCGAGAATCTTGTTGATTTTCTACCACCTTTGCTGCCTTATACTATCCACCTCAACCTCACACCAAGCAAGGCACAAATGAGTACGGTTCTACTTTTATTTGCTTGTTTGATTATTCATGGTCGCAAATTTCGGATATCATCCCCGAAGGAGTAAATATTAGTTGCTATTTCTGATCCAGTACTCTTACCAAATACAAAACTCTCTCCGCTGATCTTGAGTACTTTGAGTTTTGATTGGATGATTTCGATGATGATATGTTGATAGGACAAAGTTTATGTCCCGTGATCGACATGCACCAAATCGCAGCTGATTAAAACTCTTTTCCTCTTACAACAAAATATAAAGACCTTCTAGCATCTTCCACTACCACTATTACGGTAGGTCCCATTCCAGAACTTTTTCGGAACCACTACTGCCACCGTTGGATCATCTTGAAGGACACGTGTATGGCAAATACACAAACATGATCGGAACTGAAACATAAAATTTTGCATTAACTGTCTAGAATTAACCTCTCCGGTTCAGGTTCTATTTAAACACCTTCAGCCATGTCAAGTTCTTCAAGGAAAAAACTCAGCAAAGCCAAAGCGGAAAGAGCTCTCTTCAGTTCTCCTTTAGCCATCTCCCTCCCGGCCCTCTACTGCCTTTTAGACTCCCATGGCTCCTGAACTGGTTCAAGCTGCTGCTAAACCAACCGCTTTAGCCAAACCTGTCACGTTGCCTAAGCGGGCTTATGTCACGTTCTTGGCTGGAAATGGAGACTACGTGAAAGGTGTTGTAGGGTTAGCCAAAGGTTTAAGGAAAGTCAAATCCGCGTACCCATTAGTAGTTGCCGTTTTGCCCGACGTGCCTGAGGAGCACAGGCGGGTACTGGAGAACCAGGGTTGTATCGTTCGAGAGATCGAACCCGTTTACCCGCCTGAGAACCAGACACAGTTCGCCATGGCTTACTACGTCATCAACTATTCTAAGCTCCGTATTTGGGAGGTACGTTCTTTGCTACGTTGCACGTGGTTAATTAATTTGCTGGTTCTGTCTGTCAACGTGGCGGCCTCTCAGTATTTTAGCCTGCGTTAACCTGGGCATAATGTCTGGATTATCAGGCGATACATGTTTCAAGAAAGTTCAATGGGATCTTATTTTTTTTGACGAGAATGCCCTTCCATGATCTGGACGGTTATTATTGTAAAGAGGGGTGTTAGTGTCTTTTCATGCCAACAAATGTTATAAGACTCTTGAGTTGACTTACGGTCTGTAACATGATTTGTCTTGTATAAGTACGCTAGTTTTATTTATACGAATTCTTTTCATTTAATTTCCTGGTATGAATTTTGTGGGTGCAGTTCGTTGAGTACAGTAAAATGATATACCTGGACGGAGACATTCAGGTATTTGACAACATTGATCACCTGTTAGATTTGCCTGATGGGCATTTTTACGCTGTAATGGACTGTTTCTGTGAGAAAACATGGAGCCACACCCCACAATACAAGATCGGTTACTGCCAACAGTGCCCTGACAAGGTCAAGTGGCCTGCCGAGATGGGTCAGCCCCCTGCTCTTTACTTCAACGCCGGCATGTTTGTGTTTGAGCCCAGCCTTTCCATCTATGAAAATCTCTTGGAGACCCTTATAATCACCCCTCCTACCCCATTTGCTGAGCAGGTATCTTGAAAAGTTTTCAATTGATGAAATTAATAATTCAAAAAGTAAAGAAATTAAATGATCGGTTTGTAGGATTAAAGTAAACTGATTTGGACATTTTGTTGGTGACAGGACTTTTTGAACATGTTCTTTAGGGACATTTACAAGCCAATTTCTTTGGTATACAACCTTGTTCTCGCCATGTTATGGCGTCATCCAGAGAATGTGGAGCTGGACAAAGTTAAAGTTGTTCATTACTGTGCAGCGGTAAGTAGTTTAAACAAGAAAGTTCTTATTAGAGAATTTTTTTTTTCTTCTTAACTAACACTTGGTCTTAGTCTTGATTGCTGACTGTGTGGTGCGTGGGAGTAAACAGGGGTCAAAACCGTGGAGGTACACAGGGAAAGAAGAGAACATGCAAAGAGAAGACATCAAGAAGCTTGTGCAGAAATGGTGGGACATTTACAACGACGAGTCACTTGATTACAAGAAACCAACCGTTGCCGAAGGACAGGCAGAGCCCGTGAACCTGCAGCCATTCCTGGCGGCGCTCTCAGAAACTGGTGCAGTCCAATACGTGACCGCCCCATCAGCTGCGTGAACATGGCCAGCTATCGTTTGGAAGAAGGATCGGATCAATACATCAACTAATTAAACCATAGATGTAAAAAATTAAAGAGCCAAAAAGGGGGCAAATTCCTTTTCCCTATTGAAAGGCGGAGGGGGTGTTAAACAGGGATTTGGAAATAAAAGCTTCCAGATTTTGCCTTCTTTTTTTTTTTGTTCTTTTCCTGGTGTCGAAGTGATCAAGTCTAGAGGCAACTTGACGTGTGGGGTCACAGTTGTATGCGTCTGTTCATAATGTTTTTCCGAAAGGAGTCTCTGCTAATGAAAGGGTATGCAGAAATGGGTCTTTTCCAGCAATGCTGGTGAAATAAAAATACAGTACATGTTTCTGAATCACGTGGTCCAATTGCCAAAATCTCTAGTATATTTATAGATCTCTACTGCAGCTTTCAAATCCCAAAAATATGTCTTCATTAATTTATGGATTCATCTCTCTTCTTGTCAAGCCTGCAGGCTGGGAGGTCCTCACACTAGAATGAGAGTGAGAGTCTTAAATTATCTTCTCGTTAACATTGTTTTTCAAGGTCCGATTAATATACTCTTAATAACAAGAAATGCTGGCCTTTTACCATATAACAAGTTATCGGTTTTTAAATATTGAAAATGACACTGATGCGGAAGGCGTCATGGTCCACAAAGTTGTGGACCTCGCGTCGATGATCTCAGAGTATCATTTCCAATTCCATTTCATTTGTCAACAACAAAACATATTTTTATTATGTATTTTTCTCTATATTGTACTTAAATTATATATATTTGGTTGATAGTTTTATATTTTTTCAAAAAATAAAAAGAGAGAATAGAATAAAAATATAATTAATAATAAAAAGTAAAGAAAAATACATAAACACTTTCAAATTTTGTCTATAATTTAATATAAATTCATTAGTTTTTGAAACATACAATTCGTTACAAACTTATAAGCGACATTAACAGTAAACCTAAAACATTTAAAATATTTTTTTTTTACTTTTTTTCATTATTTTTTTTCTTAGTCAGCCGGCGGCCCTCCTTACACCGGTCGGCCATCCTCAGCAGGATCTCCCCAAGAGAGCTCCTGTTGGGGGGGAGGGGGGGCGCGGATGGGAGATCCGACCAAAGCTACTTGGCCAAAGCCGAATATAGGGCTTCGACTGCAGGAAGAGGTGAAGGAGAGAATTTTTTTTTTGAATAAAAAAATAAAAAATAAAAAATTATAGTTTTTATAAGATGGTAATTTTTAAATTACTGTAAAGTAAAATTATTTTAAAAATATTTTCGTATCATCAAATTAATAAAAACATTAATAATTGGACTTATGTGTGCAATGAAATATTTTTTTTGGATGAATTGTTTATATTGAAAATTAATAAACACAAGTAAAATTATGGGTAAAACTTGAGGATATTAATATATTTTATTTAAAAATTAAAATATTAATTAAAAGAAGCCGTAGTATAATTTATAAGAAAGGAGAGAAGGAGACAAGCACCTAGCGAAGAAGCTAATTATAAGAGAGGGACCATGTAAGGCCCTCTTAGTCATGGGAGAAGGACGATGTTGTATCGGAAACATTCGAAAAGACAAAGAGCCAAAGGGTGTAAAGCCCGTGGGAAAAGCAGCCAGGTTACCAGGGGTATCATGAAAAAAAAAAAGAATTGAAAATGGGGAACGACTCTGTGGAGAAGGAGACAATTGAAGAAGGATATTATTGAAAAACTATTTGGAGAAAAGGAACTACCTTGTTGATCGAGAAGGATCGGGGTCTGATGGTTATATAACGCATAAAAACTTGGTCATTTTGAAGGAAGCAGAGATCTCGTGGGAGCCTTTGGACTAGATTTTCGTCTGCCAAAGGAACCAATGATCAAGGCTTTCCCTACATTGGATATATGGTGGCTGAAGGTGTCAAACAAGAGGATAAGAGGTCTATGCTAAAGTTAAATTATATGTTTTTTTTTTGTTCATAATAATATTACTTTAATGGATCAAAAAGGGAATGGGAAGGGGAAAAATAAAGAGGTTGGTTAGAAGGTTGCATTGTCTTCTTGTAAGAGACCAAATTGAAAGTTGTCATAGGAATTGTTAGTGTCTATGAATATGTTTGGGGTAGGGATAAAATTCAAGGCCATTTTGTGGAGGTAGAGGGAAGATTAAGAGGGATCATAAGTATTTGATAGGAATTTTTTTTTATATGGAAGAGGTAATTGCCAATAGACATGAGGTTAGGAAAATCAATAAGAGGTGTGCCTTGGGAATGTTAACATTCCCAACGATGAAGGTAAGGGGAAGCTACTTTGAGAGGAATTGGTAGGAGTGATCAAAAGGAGGGGTGTTTGGCGGTGCTTAGGTGGGGTTTCAATACGGTAAGGAATGAAAAAGAGTGGATTGGGAAGGGTGAGGTGTGAAGCTCTACAACTTAATTTGAGAAGTTTATGAATGAATCTAAGTTAGCTAATTTTCCAACGTTGGGCAGTAGGTTCACATGATATAATAATAGAGAGGATGCAACATTTAGTAGACTCCATAGGTTCCTCATTAAATTAGAGTTTTTTGGGTGTTATGATAATATAATTCAAAACTGGCAGCCAAGCTGTTAATAATTCAAAATTTTTAAAATAATAAAATAATAAAAACTTATTTAAAAATTTTTAAATAATTCAAAATTTTTATTAGTTACTATGCCTTTTCCTATCTATCTCCTCTTCTTCAATAGTAGCCATGCTGAAAGCCTTTATTGACAGCATTTGTAAGCAGTGCTATGACTTCAGTTTTTGCACTTCAGCTCTCGGCACTGACCTTTACTTGGCTGCATCCGATTTGCATGGCCTTGCCCTGATCTTTGTTTTAGTGATTGTTGCTCAAATTCAGAACACATTCGGTCAAATCCCAAACACTCTAAAAAAATTGAATGACCTTCTTGGCCAACAATGACTAGGGGTTTGCCTAAAAGATTGTAACAGTTCATTAGGGAATGTTCAGAGTTCATTCGGCTTTATGTCTAAAAATGCTTATTGGGACCCCTTAAACTTTGTTAGAGATAGAATAAACGAAGTTATTAATCGTCATAATATCTTTAGGAGGAATACCCCAATAGCCACATCGCTGATAGTCAGGGATGATATCAATGGGATCAAATTATCAAAGATCATTTTGCTAATCATTGATCGTCTTATACCAAGGAAAGTTGTAGATCAAGCCAAATTGTAGTTGTTGTTATTATTATTATTGAAAAAATTACCATTGATACTCATAGATGAGTTTAAGGTGCCAGTGGTATGTAGGTGGAATTAATAGATAAAAACCATAGTGATGCTCAACTATACCTATTTCATTTAACCTTTTATAATTTAGTTATTTCATTGAAAAAAATTTAAAATGAAAGTGTAAACATGTTTACCTATTTCTAATGAATTAAACTAAATGCAATCAAGGGATTGACATAGGACTTAGAAGACTACTGATTTAAATGATTTTGAATTGTGTTTATGAGATATTGTTTACTTCGAGATTTATTTTCATGGTTGGCATGATATTTAAAAAAGTTCTTAAATTATTTAAAAAAATTCAAATAAACTCTTGTATTTTTATTACGAGTCAAATAAATCTTTATAACTAATAATTGACTTAATCAAAATGTTATTTGTCATTTTATGTCATGCGACGCTGACATGATATATTAACATATCATAATTGATAATAATGTGATATATTAATATATCATAATTAATGATGATATGACTTGTTAATGTAGCATAATAACATGATCATATGATTTTTTTATCTTTTATATTAGTGTCACGTTAATGTGATATGGATATAAAATAATAAATAGTATTTTGACTAATAATAATTAGATAACTATTAATTATAAGAGCTTCCTTAATCTAAAATAAAAATATAAAAATTTAATTAAATATAATAAAATAATAAAAACTTATTTTATTTTTTTTAAATAGTTAAGAAATTTTTTCTAGCATGATATCTTCATGAGTTTTGTTATTTTTTAAAAAATACCTCGTAGGGAGAAGAACATATCCTTATTTATAAATTAGAGCCCAATCTTTAATTATCAAAGAATATGGGGTCTTTTCACCTCAACAAAGAGGGCAATTACCTTTTTTCCCCTTTGAAATACATATCTTTGGAGGTCTACGTTTGGCTTTGGCACTTTTTACGTCTCTTTTTAAATAGTTACTTTTACATTTCAAAATTGTTTCCTTAAAATGTCACTTCTTACAAATTAAAGGTCATCTTATCACTATTTTTTTCAAAAAATATTCTTCCTATGATAATTGATTTAAAGTAATTAATTTAAAAGTCAATAAATGACGACATAATACCGAGGAAAGAGGTGCCATATTGTATTGGTGACCATAAATTAAAATTTTAATATTAGAACTTAAAATCTCCTATAAATATTGAGAAGGATCTTTAACAATAAAGACGTGATTAATTTTACGTTAAAATTCAAATCAGAAGGATTTTAAGAGTCTAAGGGATTTGGGTTGACAACCTTTTGGTCAAATTTCCAATCTAGGAGAATATTCTGCATGCATGGAAAGAAATCTGGTTGAAGCAAATGAGACAAAAGAATAATAATCAATGGATCCTCTGTGCGCATAATCTCCGCTAATGTATCTGAAATTGAGAATTTCCACGAATGCACTCTACAACCACTATATAATATATATATATATATATTTATGTTTCTTAGGTATACAGAAAAATTAAGAACAAAAAAATGGTTTCCTTCAAGTGCTTGCTTTCAGTAGCCGTCTTTTTCCTAGCCAGCTTTCTTTTCTTCAATTGTTGCCATGCTGATGAAGCCTTAATCGACAGTGTCTGTAAGGAGTCTCAAGACTACGACTTTTGCACTTCGACTATCAAGAACCACGCTCGCTCACCTACAGCAGACTTGCATGGCCTCGCCTTGATCGCCGCTTCCCAGACTGTCAGTCAAATTCAAGACACACTCGATCGAATCCCCACCATTCTTAAACAAGTGCAGGACCCTCTTGGCAAACAGCGGCTAGGGGATTGCCAAACTGAGTACAACACTTCACTGGGGAAGTTCCAGAGCGCATTTGGTTCGACGTCAAATAAAGCTTATTGGGATGCCTTGACCTTTGTTAAGGATGGAACCAACACAGTCATTGATTGTCATAATAGTTATAGAAGGGATGGTCCGATAGCCACATCCCCGATAGCCGAGGACGATGACAAGGTGTTCAAGTTATCAGAAATTATTTTGATAATCATTGATCGACTCATTTAACTGAATTAAAATTAAATAAGTGCCAATTTGATCTGGTGTTATGTTTATTTTTTAGGGACATGATGTTCGATTTGTTTTTTTGAAAGGCATGATTAGGGGCTGACACAATTAATTCAAAAGCTTAAAGTGAAATATTCAAATGGGACTTTTTTTATTGAAATTAAAAAAATCATAGTTCCTTCATCCTAACTTTTACTATAGCAAGATTTCTTGTTAATACTTTTTCCAATGTTCTTCATCTCTTTTTATTCATTCTTAAACACTTTTATCAATTGTTTTATTTTTCAATAATTTCATTTCTAAATCAATCCAAGAACTCATATAAGTAATATGATCATTACTCATTTCATGACTCTTAAGCTTAGCACTAAAATTTTTCCAATCTCTCGTACCAACATTAGTTAGTTTACTTGTACTAAAAGCCAAATTAAACAATTTGTAACAAAAACAAAATACTCTATCTAAGTCTTTTGAATAAACTAGACATCTTCTTTTATGCGTCTTCCCATTTACCAACTTTTAAATATAATATGTAGTAGAAAAATGTCAGTGAAAATTCATCTTTAAGAAAATCTAAGTCATTAACTTTAATTTGACCTTTTTCTACTAATAAATGTTTTAGTAGTGAGGAGGGATTCGTTACACTTCATAATTTATAACAGATAATAATTTTATATAACATGTAAATAAAAAAATAAAAAAAACTTACAATAAGTTTTAGAAAAAAATTTTAAATTTTAATTCATCAATTATTGATTCTATATTGAAAAGGATAGTAATGTTTTTTTTCAATATAAATAAGATCAATATCTAATTTCTCAATATAAACAAGAGAAATTAATCTATCAAGTAAGATTTGCGCTTCAACTATCTAAAACCACGCTTGTGCAATTACAGCTAACTTGCATGGCCTTGCCTTGATTGCTGTTTCTTACTTCTATTGCCTTGATTGTCATAAAGTACTTCTTTAACTTTGTTAAGGATGGAACTAACACAATTTTCGATTGTCATCAATATTTATAGAAGGAACGATCTAATAGCTACGTCGTCGATAGCCAAGGACGACACCAATGCCATCCAGTTGATGGAAATCATTTTGATAATCAACAGTCGACTCATGAAATAGAAGAATAAAAAAATGCCAATTTGAGATGAGAATGAATTAGATAAAGGGGGAAGAAGATAATTATATTTATATCTCTTTATACCTTTTATGTAACTTGAGAAACGAGAATAAATTGTAACTATCATCAAATATTTTTATTTATCTGACGATAGATACAAAAGAGTTGAATTTAATCTTCTTTGTCTCAAATTATACTTGATAAAAGAAAATTACTATAAATTTATATATACTTCCCATTACATTTTCCTCTTTGTATAAAAAAGTATCATGTATGTAAAATAGAGGGAAGAATTGTTTTGTTTGTAATTGCAGATATAATGCAATGAATATCCAAATAATGTCTCCTTAGATAAATGTGCACTTGGGTTTTTAAGGGTTAATATTGGTTAGAATAAGGCAATACCTTTTCTATTATTCTTCAAATAAAGGAAAAGAAGAATTCCTTGATAATAAAATCGACTGAGCTAGGCATCTAAACTAATTACAAAGAGTTTGATGCGTTGACAAAAAAAAAAATCAAATTATAACATAAAGAAAAAAAATAAACAACTTGTTTTAAGTTGTGAAAAAATAATAAAATATATATAAAAGATTCTGAATATTCTGTATGAGAATTAAACTAACTGTATCATAATCCTATATTCCTATTGTAATCTAATAACTTTGTAATTTAACAAAATCTCAGAGAACGTAGACTATAATGTTTAACATTTTCAATGAAATAAGGCAATTTTCATTATTAGGTCATTGGGTGTGCATGGTGCAACCTAAAAGATCAAAACGCAGCCGTTTGAATGATACTTGAAACGTTGTCGCTTAACAATAATCGTGCTTTACTGATTCAGCCTTGCCAATAGAAAAAGGGCGGAGCGCCCTCGGTGACAAACCTTTTCCCTCACTCTGCAAAATCCAAAAGCAAAATCACAGCAACAAAAAGACCCAAAAAAAGAAAAAGAAAGAAAGAAAAGAAGCTCCATAACTTTCTATTAACCAGATATCGCAAAATAAGCAATGATAATTCGTCTCTCTCTGTCTCACCAATCCCCTTCAAGGTACGTTTCATTATTCTCATTCCTTCCCTTCAAGTTCTTTTGCTCTGATTCCAATCCTCCCTTAAGCGACGACGTTGACACCGTCCACCGCATCATAGCTAGCTCTACTTCTTCAAAAAACTTGACCCAGTCCTTAAAATCAACTGGGATTTTTCTTTCAAATGATTTAATCGATAAAGTACTAAAAAGGGTCCGGTTTAGCCATGGAAATCCATTTCTAGCTTTTGAGTTCTTTAAATATACTGGAAAAAGGAAAGGGTTTTATCACACTGCTTTTTCTTTGGATACTATGCTCTATATTTTGGGTAGGAGCCGTAAATTTGATCAAATTTGGGAGGTTTTAATTGATATTAAGAGAAAGGATCAGTCTTTGATAACCCCAAGAACAATGCAAGTTGTTTTAGCTAGAGTTGCTAAGGTTTGTTCGGTTAGAGAGACTGTAGATAGTTTCAGGAGGTTTAAGAAGCTTGTTTCTGAATTCGATACAGCTTGTTTTAATGCTTTGTTAAGGACATTGTGTCAAGAGAAAAGTATGAAGGATGCTAGGAATGTTTATCATAGTTTAAAGCATGATTTTCGGCCAAATTTGCAGACTTTTAATATACTTTTGTCCGGGTGGAAGTCCTCGGAGGAAGCTGAGGGGTTTTTCAATGAAATGAGGGGATTGGGTATTAAACCGGATGTTGTTTCATATAATTGTTTAATTGATGTGTATTGTAAGAATAGAGATATAGATAAAGCATATAGGGTGGTTGAAAAGATGACAGATGAGGAAATTTGGCCTGATGTGATAACTTATACGAGTATTATTGGGGGATTGGGGTTGGTTGGTCAGCCTGATAAAGCTAAAGATGTTTTGAAGGAAATGAAGGAGCATGGATGTTACCCAGATGTTGCTGCGTATAATGCTGCCATTAGAAATTTTTGTATAGCAAAGAGGCTTGGTGATGCTTATAATTTGATGGATGAAATGGTTGGAAAGGGTTTGAGTCCCAATGCAACTACTTACAATCTGTTCTTTAGGGTCTTCTATTGGTCAAATGATTTGAGAAGCTCATGTAGTTTGTATCAGAGGATGATGGATTCTGGGTGCCTGCCAAATACACAATCTTGTATGTTTTTAATTAGGTTGTTTAGGAGGCATGAAAAGGTTGGGATGGCGCTGCAGCTGTGGAATGACATGGTGGAGAAGGGTTTTGGGTCTTATGTTTTGGTATCTGATGTGTTGTTTGATCTGCTTTGTGATATGGGAAAGCTGGTGGAAGCAGAAAAGTGTTTCTTGGAAATGATAGAGAAGGGCCATAAGCCTAGCAATGTTTCTTTCAGGAGGATCAAGGTGCTCATGGAATTGGCAAACAAGCATGAGGCTGTTAAGAACTTGAAAGAGAAGATGGCCATTTTTGGGTCTTCAATCCAGCTTCCTGGAGGTGAGGAGAACCTTGAAGAAACGGTAGATCTAGACTCACTTAATGTTAATCATGTAAAAACTAACTAGTGTGGCAACTATGGTGGGATTATCATATGAAAACTTCTTTTATGTTCGTATTCTTGGGTTGGTTCTTCAATCCATCACCAAGTGGGGGCTATTGGTCTGGAACATTTGACTTGTTTTGGTCTAGTTCAGTGGTTTTCAATTGGTTTTTAAAAACGATGTCAATAACTCTGTCAGACAAAGGAGGGGTTAAATACTTTTTCCTGCTCCTATGCATGATGCGATACTCTGTTGGAGGTAGCAGAGTTGGTCTCCTTTCTTATTGCACAATGGCGGGAATAGTATTTTGTTTCAACATACTTATTTGCTTCTCCATCTGGAAGTTGATCTCAGTTCCTATCATTCCTATGGAATTCTCAAGTAGCATTTGGAACTGATAGTCTCACTGGATGTGAGGAAGCTGACATTTGAAACATTTCCTCTATATATTTTCACAGAATCTGGAGCTGCAGGGCTGTCTGATTTCTCTTCCTTCCCATAATAGCCTCAGATTGCCACTGAATTTCACAAATATGATTTCTCTATGCGATGTTCATTTATTGCAGCAATTTTCAGCAAGCTGGCAAAAGACCTTAATTACTGATCTGGGCTCAAGCTGTGGATGTTTTAGTCATATTTTAATTTAACCCTCCGAGTCTCTAGATTTGGAAGCCCAAGCAGGGTGTGGCAGCCTGGAATTACAACTTTTATTTTGACTTCATTTGATTGTTATATAACAACGGTGATAACTCAGCTGGAATTTTAATCCTTGGAGGGTAAGCTGTTATTGGAGAATTGCAGTGTCACATCTTCATTTTCGATGATGCTCATGATATTCATTGTGTGAATCAGTCTCTGATATTGATGTCTGTAAAACTACTACTGAACCCTGTTTTGGGCTACGGCAGGCTACCTGTTTGTTCTTTTCTGTGGCTTCCCAATTGCTCCATTCATCATCTTGAAAGGCCCCGTCCGCACTACTTTTATCATTCATCTCCTAAACGTGCCCTAAAGCATTCTTAAGATTTATAATAATATTCTTATATTAAGCAAAAATTAACAATTAATATAATAGATTCAATGCACTGGTCAAAAAACTATTACCTAATATTGTAATCTTAAAGAATGTCTTTAAAACACTTCTCAGTTGATCAGGTCTTAGATAAATCACACAATTGCAAGTGGTTGGTCTCAAACCAGCATATTCAAGAATACGATGTAAAGAAAAAACTTATACTGAATATTTAACATTACAGTAATGAAACGGGCTAACCATCAATTTCCACCAAGAAAAGAACGGCTGCAAAACTGGGGGAATTTTTTTTTTTTTTTGCAGCTATCGAGATAATACCATAATTCAAACTGAAAATATATCGATTATTCTTAAGCTACAAGTAACAAATGGCAATGTTTGCAAGAAACAAAGAAACATAAGAAACCAAAACACTTAAACCGGGATAGACATCCATAAATCCGTTAAGGGGCCAGCATTAGTGAGACAACTCTCTTATGCCATCTATGCCTGCAATTGTATTACATATATCAGCATAAGTAAATAAAAGGAAGAAGAAACTGAAGAAATTCAAAAGCTTACAATTTGTTACTTCAGGTTTAATTATTATTATCGAAGTCATATGC